TTCCATCAACATTTATAAATTATATTCAGTAAATTTGTATTCAAAATAAGTTTCTGTTTATTTAACTATCGATTACGAACACATATTGTAGTGTATTTTAATATAGGTATTGTTTAAACGGTATTACATAATTAGTTTTTAGCATTTGATTGATCAATATTATTGTGGGGCTTGTTTTACTCTTTTTTTAGTGTGCAGTCGGGTATTTTGTTTTTTTAATAATAATTTTTTTATTTATAACTTTTTAGCTGTTTTTATTTCGATATATACAAATAGGGATATATCGAATAAAATCGCTATTTAGAGACGACCGTCAACGACGTGTGCCCTCATGCGTGTGCCCGCAATCGGGCTGTATACTCGAGCATATCCCCCTCCGCACCGCGCCGCGCGCCGCATGCCAGGCCACGCCCTATCTTTTTGCTTGCTAACGCATGAGTTGCTTTGCGTTGACGCAGAATTAACATGTTCCCGTGGGAATTTTGAGAAAAAACGTATCCTATATTAATTACTCCCGTGATTGAAATGAATCTAATGATACCGCATACATATTTTTTTAAAGGGAAATTTAGAAAAAATATTATTATGTCTTTATCCCGTGGGACTTTTAGGATAAAATGTATCCTATGACACTCCCGTAATCAAGACAAATCTAACGATACCTCATACATCAAAATCCATCAAGCCGTTTAGGCTACAGGTGGTCACAAAGGAAAAGACATACATACATACTTACATACACTCGAAAAACATTACCCTCCTTCTTTGGCAGTCGGGTAAAAATATATTACTGTGATTGGCGTTTGGGTCCACGCATACATAATAAAACTCAGTAACAAATAAGAATAAGTTATTTCATATATATTAAGGTAGACTGATAGAGAAGGCCATACGGCATTAATTTCCCCTTATGTGCCATAATAAAATTTTGTACATAAAAGAACAAATAAATAAAAATTCTTTAATTTGCCATCTGTTTATTACTTATGTACCCACCTAAGTAATAAGTAACTAGTCACTAGGTACAAATAATAATGTTAATTGCTTATAAATATTGCTGTAGTCGAGTAGAAATCATTTTCAGGTGATATGCTTGTGAGTTCTGAATTTATCCTTTCCTCGTCGGCATAGAACCTCCACCTTTAGCTTCTCTTCTTTTCCGTGAAAAACTGTCCGCAAACATAGCCTCTTTCATAATCATTGGCGAAGGGTTGGCATGAGCTTCTCTAATAATCTGTAAATAATTTCGGGTTCTTACTCTACTAAGTTGATGTATGAAGTGGAAGAGACATGGCTTACTTATGTTAAATGATTGTCTTATTATTTAATTAATAGTAGGTACATCTAAACTATCAAGATCCTTAGAAATATCTTGCTGGTAATCATTAGTATTGCCTAATAACCGTAATCCCTTAGTAGTGGTTTAACGTAGGCTAATATTTAAAAATAGTTGTAGTGAATAACCACTTAGTGAACTAACTACACTTCCAGTAGGTACAGATAATTAAATGTTGTGAAAACCTTCCCTTTCAGAGTCTCCAACTTTTATAGGTGTATTGGTACCGCTAACTGCGGATATAACTTACCCGATGAGATGAATGAAGGGGGTTGCTCACTACATGTTTTTGCGCTTCAGATAGTGCAGGTACGGCGAATGTCGTTCCACAATTTGCCACAAGGCAAATAGCAAAGACCGTTAAATAAAACAAGCTGTTCATCTTTACTGGTCACTACTATTGACGTCTCACACCTTACACACATTTTTATACACACTCCAGATAGATTGCATGTTACTTTGTTAACGGAAACCTTTGACAAACAATACAATTACTTCCTGCGAGGTGAGATATACGCGAGTGATAATAATTAAGTATGTTGATTGTTATTGCTGTGATAAAGGTAATTGTGCTTCACGAACAACTTAGGGCCAAATAGCCGATGTCAATCCTAAAGCAATGAACATAATTACTGAGTCATTAGCATTAGGTGGACATAAAAAGTATCATGCAATTATGCAAGTATTTTCAAGATTATTCTTTCAGTTGTCTCGCTTTAACATTAGTTGGTAATGGTAAATATGTACCTTGTTTATACACGTAGGTACTAACCCGACCGTACGGCGCGGCGCGTCGCGTTCCGTGCGCGCATCATGGAGCCATATCGGACTACCACAGATGGGGCCCAATAGGGCTGATGCCGGTACGAAGCCGCGGAGGACTTAACGAGTTGCCGGGGCACCGGCTCGAAGTGCAGGAGTTGGAACAGGGTTCTTTTTAGTCATTAAGTGTCTGACACTCAAAAAAGGTAGGTAGGTATTATGTCCAGTTTAACTACTGTCATCAATCCCGTTAAAATTAGATTCTATTTTTTCTAGGTATTTAAATAAGGAAGTAGTCATGATAGTTATGTACCCACTTGTATTTAATATTTTTCCACACTACTTATGTAGCATCGAAATCTAATATCTGTGGAGAAGAGTTCCGACTTTTATGTTTTATGACTAAACTATGTGTTAGTTAGGTACCTACTTACATTCTTTTTTTGTACCTATATCGTGAGGCGTACTAAGTAGGTACCTACTAACTATGAGGTAGGTATCAATTGTAAGTAGTGTCCGACTGAATGTTCGGTTTCGGTTGAGTTTCGGTTTACATAACATAACATCACGCCTTTTATCCCCAAAGGGGTAGGCAGAGGTACACATTATGGCACTTAATGCCACTGTACAATG